TTGAATGGGGTTTTTAAAAGGCTGGTTTGTGTTTGACAGTCAGTTATAGTGAATGGAAGTAGCTTGTGTTTGAGGTCAATTAGGACAGTTATTTAGGTTCCGCTTAGATTATTCAGAGATCAGGAAAGAGTTAGAGAGATGTGTTAAGAGTTGGGATTTAGATGTTAAGTATCAGTAACAAATAAGCCTTGAAATTCTGTAACCATAAACTTCAGTACACCAAGTAATCTTACATTGTATGCTGAACTTTTGTTGAATAAATTACCTGGCAATATACACAGGTATCTCTGGGAACGCAACAATAATGCTAATGGGATGACTAAGTTCAGGCACATAGTATCTGTAGTTATTCAACGGTGGTGGTAACTTTGGTATCACAGTGGTGGGACAAGTAGAGTTCCCCACATTTGGTGCTACAGCATTGACATAAATGAATGTCTGTACAAGGACGTCTCCTCTTCATTCCATGTACACAAGCTGACTGGATCGACAGTTCAAACTTACATAAGCACTGAAGAAGGAAGAATGTCCTCCAACATACCTGAACAGATCTTAGAAGTGTTAATTCTGTTGACAAAAACTCCCAGAATCCCTCAGGTCTAGGACCCATATTACATTATTAAACAAATCGGGCAAACAAACAAAAAGATTTTTCTCCCTCTGCATGACATGATGTTGTTCGCTTTCATTCTCTTCAGGTTGTAAAAGCGTGGGAGAGGGTCGCAAAAGTGTCGTAAAAGTGTCCCTTTTGCCAAGCTAGAAAAATCCGTTTGGCAAAAATGCTTTAACCACACTCTCCCACACTTTTTATAACCTGAAGAGAATAAACGTCATGTGGAGGGAGAAAAAGGAACCCATGCCTTTTCATTTGCGATAAGGCTTTAAAAGTTGCGATCCAAAAGATTTAACTTCTGCACCTGGAGCATCAAACTACAGTGGGCTCTTGGTATCTGCTGGGGTTTGGTTCCAGGACCCCTGTGGATACCAAAATCCGTGGATGCTCAAGTCCCATTAAATACAATGGCATAGTAAAATGGTGTCCCTTGTATAAAATGATAAAATCAGGGTTTGCTTTTGGGAATTTATATATTTTTAAAATATTTTCAAACCATGGATGCTTGAATCCATGGATAAAAAATCCATGGATACAGAGGATTGACTGTACTTGAAGTGGACCAGGGCAAGCTTTGGGGCATAAGGGAAAAGATGTGGGGCCTCAAAGGAAAGTCAAGTGGCTGTACTCTCAATGTTGTTGTTCGTAGTGGCTGTGATCCAAAGCAAACCTACTCTAAGTCAAGCCCCACAAAACCTTGAGTTGATTTCAGACTTTTGCAGTTTGAATGGATGCTCCAAATAGTGAAGTGGTTGGTTATCTGAATTTCCACCGTGATTCTGACTCCAAGATAATTCTGGGCTGGACTGGGCCTACCATCTTTGCCTTATGCCTGGTCCAGCATATAGTTATGTTTTAGTCAAAATCTTAGAGTGGAGATTAATTAGGATAACCAACTGCTTCAATATCTGATGCATCACTCCAAACTTCAAAACCTACATTCAAGGTTTTGAAGGCTAGACCTTGAAGTAGGCTTGCTTAGGATCACTGCCATTAGGGACAACAATATACTTTCCCCTCTCTATTCCTGCATCACTTTCATCACTTTCAAGGGATGTGATTTTGTTCCCATGCCTTCTCCTACTGTCTTAATGCTCTCACCAAAAAACACCCAGGCATCTCTGCATGACCATGCTTCCTGCTGCCTTACCATTGTAAAAGGGGATGAGCCAGAGGATCCAACTTGTCCATTTGTTTCTTAATTTCCAGATAGGAACCCTGAGGGAAAAGAACAGCAGGAGAAGTTACAGTGGTGTTAGAATTACAAGCAGAAACTTTGACCAGCTAGGAACTCATTAAAACAATTAACTTGAAAGGACTTAATGGTAAGAGGAGATGGAATGGTGATCAGTGATTAGTGACCAGTGATTCGAGGGGGAAAGAGGGATCAGATCCCATGCTAGTCACTCTAGCATTGCACTATTGCTGGCTAGAGTTAGAGAGGCATTACTGGCAGATTCAATTCCATGTTGCATCTGGGAATAACAGCTTCAGACAGGTATTCATGGTAGTTTCAGTCTTGCTAGGTGGAACATAAAACCTGGGAAGTTCACAGACTATTCAAAAAGTGAGCATGGGATGGGGACAAGGAGAGGGAGAAACATAGAATGAACGTGTTGGTACCTACTTGAGTCATTTCACGGATTGACATGACACTGTCCAGGGCTTTCTGCAGCCTCTCATAGTTTTTTTTCTGTGTGTCAAGAGAAGGAGAGAGGATATGCATGACGCATAAACATGACGCATAAACTGGACTATTACCAGGGAGCCACACAGTCTCTGTGTGGAGAAAATCTGAGCACATGGAAAATACGTTCTGGATTTAATTATCCTGCCACATTAGCATACATCAGAGGTCTTGTTCCCAGATAGAATCCTACCACTGCTCAGTTTGGATGGCTTAACATGTCATTATATTTGTTCCTCTTCAAAGTAACTTTCCAAGCAGTGGCTCAGAGACATGGGCAAAGCCAGCCAGCTGCTTAATGTTTCTAACTGCTGACTAGCGTATGCCTGCAGCTTGAAGCAGAGCTCCATGGAACTGACTGCATTCACAGTGATCAGATAGCAAATTAATATACATATAGAATCAGATATTTTATCAGCAATTACATCTGGAAAGAGTATACAAATTCAGTGCCAACACTCATAGGCACTTGGTTTCATTCTGTTGGGAAACCAGTGAAGATCAGATTAGTTTGCACATGTTTTCAAGAAAAATCTGTGAACATCTTTGTAAATTTGAATGGCTGTATTTTTAATATTACAATGATAGCAATTTCAATGCATGGGGGGAAATGTGAACTATGCCTCCCAGAATCCCCATGTAGTATGACCAGAGGCCATGGTGGCTGGATGATTTTGGGAGAAGTAGTTCCAGATAACTTTTCCAAGATCTGGACAAATCCCATCACAAGCCCGAGAGGTCCTTGCTCTCCTGGACCTCTTGACTCACACCAACCTTGGGATTGAAGGCAAGGGTCTTTGGGTCACTGGGGTCAACAACAGAGGGATAAGGCTCAAAGATTATACTCTTGCGTGGAGACTCCAGGGCTGCACGGCACATGGCCACCAACAGGTCCACTACCTGAAAGAGAGAAGCCACCAAAAAAGATGATGCCTGTAGACTGGAAGGGCAACTTCCCATCCCCATACTTCTTCTAATGCCACACCTCCATCCTGATATCCCAAACAAAGCGATTTGTGCATTTCATTTCTATTAAAATAAACCAAATCTTCTTGGCCAATAGGACTCAGGTGCAGCAATGGATAGATTTCAAGGGCATATTATGAAGAATAAATTTCAATTTCCAATAAATTTTCCCCTGAGCTACTGGGAAACTTTTTCTTTCTAAATGCATACACACAAAAACACTTGTGTATCAGTCAGAGTTAGCCCAAGACATTTTGTGTCTGAGGTGAACAACAAGATAGCACCTGCTGCACTTAAGGTATGAAAATTAACTGAACCTTTCTGGAAAGCTTTCCAAAGGTGCATGGTTTTATTTAGCATATTCACTTGCATTTACTGCATTAAACACAAATTTTAATGTCCCAACAGCCTGTAAATATTTGAATAGAAATATTTGATTAAGAACAAAAGAACACTTAATATGGTGTAACTATTATATATTTTTAAAATCCAGAACTTTTAAAGGGCATTATTTTATTAAAATCCTTATCTTTACATTTTTACAATATTTACTTTCCTTAACAACAAAAGTAAATGAATCTCAATTTGGCTATCATTGGCAACTTTTGCCTGCTACAAGCCCTGAATTGATCTCTAGATGTGAGCTTGCAAAGGTTTCTTGGGGAGTTACTGTATTTTCTCTTAAAACAGGGGCGATGGGTCCAGCCTTGCACAGAACAGAAATAGCCTAGATCTCAAAAAGAATTACTTTCATACTACCAATGGAAATGGAAGTTTTATTACCTGGCTTTTATTGTCTTTGCCCTCAGTCTCTGTGTGGCCAAGAAGGTGTGGAGACTCTACCTGTATCAACCCTCCCTCAAGACCATCTTAAACACCATCCTAACTAAATACTTCAAACAAGATGCAGGCCTGTGACTCTGACACTACTTCTTTTTCTGTATGATTTTAACAGCTTTGCCTGATGAAGAAGCCAGTAAGCTTGCATAATGTATGTTGTGTATTTTGGTTCACCTAATAAAGATATCACCATGATGTATAATTTGGATGTTGCTTTGTTTTCTATGAAGGATTAGTCTATGGACCTTATCACACGGGGGAAATCCCATTCAGAAACGGGATTTAAAAGCTGGAGAAAACCTGCAAAAGTGGGTCGATTTTCTCACACACTGCTGTTGAAGTGTGTTTAACCCAAACAGAAAGTACCGTAGTCAAAAAGGATTTTCCAAAAGTAAAAAGAATCGGCTTTTGACTATTTTCCGTTCGGGTTAACCACACTTTAACCAGGACGTCATCTGAAAATCTACTGCTTTTGCATTTTTTTTTTCTATTTAAAACCCCGTTTCTGCACGGGATTTCCCCCATGTGATAAAGTCCTATGTTTAAAGACGGAACACACAGAAAACTGTCAATACACCAATTTTAGCACTTCCAAAAAACAGTGTGTGATATGATGTGGCTTTCCACTCATCTACTTTCAAAAGAGTTTCTCTTCCACTAAGATTAGGGCACTTCTAGTTTCAGTGTCACTATCTGCAGAATTACTAAAACTGCTTACTTCATATTCATTGTTGAGGTGTGCCTCCAAATCATTTCTGACTTATGGCAACCCTAAGATGAACCTAGCATGGGGATTTCTTGGAAAGATTTGTGCAGAGGGAGTTTGCCTTTGCCTTTGCCTTCTTCTGAGGCTGAAAGAGTTTGACTTGCCCAAGCTCACCCAGTGAGTTTCCATAGCCCAGCGGGGATTCAAACCCTGGTCTCCAGAGTTGTAGTCCAGCATTCAAACCACTACACCACATTGGCTCATTTTACGTTCCAGTAATGGCAAATCTGATTCAGAGCTAATTGAATTTGCTATGTGACTTTTTTCTGCGGTCACGGAAAGCAGCCAAGCCTGCCTAACGCTGTATCAGCATAATCTGATTACAATGAGTAATTTTTAAAAAAGAAATTGGATTTTTTTGCTGGAAGGGTTGTAAATCTAGAGGCTCTTATATGCATATGTAGACTGAATGTCCTAAAGTGAGAAAATTCTGGGATGCAGTTCTCTATCAAATGTCATGCATCACTGACCAAACTGTAAATTTCTGTCCAATTTTGCTTTTGCTTTCTATATTTGTTAAAAGTAATTCTAACTTGAAATATAGGAAACTGATCATTTTTCTTATTACTGTTGATGGATTAGAAGTAGCTAGATGTTGGAAGTTAGGTGACCTCTCCATTGAGAACTGGTAGTCTAGAATTTGGGGTATGCGGTTGATGGAGAAACTGTCTGCTGTGATGAGATTTTACATTGGCCACAAAAGGACTGACACATTTCAAGAAGACTGGATGATCTTTATTGATTATTGTTAATCATCACTCCCACTGGATCCAACCTCCAACTTCACAGATAAATCTTTGGACAGACACTCTACACCAGGGGTAGGCAACCTTTCCCCTTTAAGGGCCGAGGGACTTCAGCTCCCAGAAGCCTCAGCCATGTTGGCCAATAGTCCCATGTTGGCCAATAGCTCCTGGGATTCTGGGAGCTGAAGTCCCTCGGACCTTAAAGAGGAAAGGTTGCCTACCCCTACTCTACACCTTGATAAACCAGACTCTCTGGCTCTTGCTGAGAACTAATTTTTGTATTCTTCTGCAGAATAACTACTCATCAGATACATACCTTGGCCCTTATAGTTAATTGTTGCTGCTTTTGTTATTGTTCTACAGACGTCATGTGTTTTGTTGTAAAAACTCAATAAAAATTTAATTAGGGGGGGGAAGAAATTGGATCCTTTTTTCCCATGGAAAAATTAAAGACTGCATTTTTTCCACTGAAAATTTTCTACTTCACTTCACTCCCTCCAAACAAAGCACCCCATCATTTGTACCTCTGCTCCTGTGGCCACTTCTTCTGCAGCACCAGACATCACTCCCAGAGTGTAGAAAGAGAAGACGCACAGTTCCCGAGTGCACACAGCTGGCTACAGAAATAAAAAGCCATAAGGCTAGTGAGACAGAGGGGAAGATGCCCAAGCCACTCTGCATGCCAGGAGACAGCATCATAAACAGACTAGGGGAGAGCATCATTCAAGGGAAGACTACTTGTTCTCCATTCAGAAAACATCTCATTCAACCCACATCATCTTCTCTTTAAAGAAGGGTCTCAATGAATAAGGTAAAGTCTTATTAATTTATTTATTTTTATTTTATTTTATCCCACCTTTCTCCCAAAAAGGGACCCAAGGCAGCTCACAATATAAACACACATTAAAACAACATTTAAAAAAAAGAATTAAAATAGTCTAATTAGAACAGTAAAAAGTTAACAATTTTAAACATACAAAATTTAAAACATACAAAGGTTTAAAAAAATTATCTAAACCAACCCACCCACTCCAACAAAACGTATTAGTCTACTGTTTATGGATTTTGTGATCTATTGCCTTTCATGGGTTGGAAACACTAGCTAGATGAGTGACTGGCCTGACTCAAATAAGACAGCTTTTTAAGATTACTTTGCCAGCTTTGCTTATCACCTCCACAATGGCTTAACTCAGCCTGATGTTCCATTAGCATGATCTCCAGCTCCTTCATTCTTTAATAGCAGCAGCCAAGGCCAATTACCCAGATTCTATGCAGATCACCCAACAAATCACACAGTAAAAGGACTCCCAATTGTGACTCTAGGATCCAGTTCAGGAAAATCTGTCCCAGTTCAGGAAAATCTATCCTAAATGGTACCTTTCCTAACTGCATAGCTTGAAAGTGTTTCTCATTTGGACAACAGCTATCAGAATCCCTCAAGCAGCATGGCCAGTGACCATCATAACTGGAGATCTTGGGAGCTATAGTCAAAAAAAGTACCAAAGAGTACCAAGGTAGCTTTCCCAACATCTGACCAACTCTGCTCATTTCTACTGACCGATACAACAAAAGGGAAGAGTACCTTTAGCATGGATCCATTCTGGAAGACGTGCTGTTCATCACACACCACACAGTACTCATTTAGCGTAGGAATCCTCTGCTCTGCATACTTCATAATCTAAGTGGAAAGCAGAAACCACACCTGGGTAAGAAGAACTATGACTTCTGGGAATTAGGTCTCAACTCAATGGTGCAACACATGCTTTGCACCCAGCAGATCCCGGTGTCAGGACTCCTTCCATTAAAATATCGCAGCAGAAAGCCTGGGGAAAAGCCTGACCACCTGACAGCATCTGCCAAATAGCTGGTACTAGTTGTGGACAACCTCTGGTGGTGGTGGTTGTGTGCCTTCAAATCATTTCCAATTTATGGTGACTCTAAGGTGAAACCATCATGGGGTTTCTTGGCAAGTTTCTTCAGAGGAGTTTGCCATTGTCATTCTCTGAAGCTAAAAGAGAGTGACTTGCCCGAGGTCACCCAGTGGGTTTATGTGGCCGAGCCAGGATTCAAACCCTGCTCTCCAGAGTCATAGTCCAATGCTCAAACCACT